TCTTAGTAGGAGCTTGAAGACAGTAGTGCTTTGAACCATGGGAAAAGTAGAGACCCAGCTCAAGAGATTTCAGATGAAACAGTATCAGCAACTGGGCTAAAGACCATTCCTGATATTTTGGTAAATAATATGTCTGCTTTTTTGACCTTGTCCTAAGAACTTTCCTAAGGCTAAATTTTTTTTCAATAAATTTTTTTTTAAATTTTATTTATTTTATTTTACAATACCATTCAGTTCTACATATCAGCCACGGGTTCCCCTATTCTCCCCCCTCAAACCCCCGCCCCTTACCCCTAGCCCACCCCCCATTCCCACCTCCTCCAGGGCAAATCCTCCCCCGAGGACTGCGATCAACCTGGTAGACTCAGTCCAGGCAGGTCCAGTCCCCTCCTCCCAGCTTGAGCCAAGTGTCCCTGCATAAGCTCCAGGTTTCAAACAGCCAACTCATGCAATGAGCACAGGACTTGGTCACACTGCCTAAGGCTAAATTTAAAAGTAATAGACTAATTTCTTTGTTGGAAACTTCAAGATAGCCGAATATTGGCGCTGTTGCATGGTTATTGGCAATCATTAATAAGTAGGTCTACAATGAAAAGGAGAAAATGGGATAGAAAAAATACAAAATGTACAGTTTGGAGAGAAAAAAAAAAGACACTGGCAAACTAAATGTTACACATAGATTCACACTATTAAGGAGAGGCCAAATCTTCAGTAGAATAAAAGAAAGAAGGGTGCCCTTAGGACAAGACCCCAGACAACTAAGTTTCCAGCCTATGAAAAAAATTTTCTGCTCCTAAAAAACAACAAAAACAATAGGTGCTGCTGATGTGGTTAAAGGTGTTGGGGCAGAATTCAGTCCATGTTTGCAGCTCTACTTGGCAGAGTCACCCACATGATGCTGGCTTTAGAGTCGTGAAGGATTCTTAAACTTCCTCTGCAGTTCAAGAGAGTCCCTGAGACTAGGTATGTGGCGGGAGTGGGGGGTGGGGAGGTGGTCCCTGCATGAAGGCCTGAAAAGGTCACTGTCTGAAGCTTTGGAAAGTAAAATCTGGGTTGTGTTGGAAACCCCAAGATATCAGAATTGGAGACTCCAAGGTGGTGGTGGGGGTAATCTTGCATGTAGTAAAGCTGGAAGGACAGTGCCACCTTCTAAGCACTTTGACATCACACAAGAAGCTAAAGAATTTGGAGTTTGCCCTGCTGGGTTTTGGTCCTGCTTTGGTCTACGGTTTCCATACTATGCTTCTATTTCTCCCTTTTGGAATGGTAATATGTATCTTGTATCACTGTATGTTGGAAGTATGTATTTTTTTTTTTTATTTTACAGGGGGTTACAGCTGAAGAGACTGCCTTGAAACAGTGTTGATTCTGCAAAAAGACTATGGAGAGTTTTGAAGTTAGACTAAATGGATTTATTTGCATTATGAGATAGTCAGAAGCCTATGTGTGCCAACAAGTGGAATATGGAGGTTCAAATGAGATGTCCTCCATAAATCTCGAGCATTTGAATACTTAGTCCCCAGTTGTTTGGAAAGGCTTAGGAGATGTGACCTTGTTGGAGGAAGTGTGTCAATGAGGGCTGGCTCTGAGGTTTTAAAAGCCATGTGCAGTTTCCAGCGCTCTCTCTACATTCCAGTTCGAGGTTTGGGATGGGAGCCCTCAGCCTCCAGCCTCCACGTCTGATTCTTGCTCTCATGATATCTCCATCACTGTGGACCCTACTGAAATCACACGCCCAAATAAACCCTTCCTTCTATAAGTTAATAGGTTATTGTGTTTTAATCACAGAGGTAACACTAAAACAACTAACACTACTATAAACCAAAATATAAAAAATTTCTACCTACTATATGAAGCTATGTACCCAATGAAGACAGACTCAATTGAAGCTTCTTCAGATACAGGGAAGGCTACTGAGTTCTCTAAAAGAATACTTTGTGCTAGTGTCAATGTGTTCCTTTCTCTTGGCTATGTGTGTTCTAAAATCCCAAATACTCTTTTAGATGATCTGGAGCTGTCTAGGTCATCTCTCCACAAAGAAAACTGTGCTAAGGAAGAGATGAAGCAGACAATATGGTGTGGTTTTACACTAATGGTGATGAGGAAGGGTAACAGTTAATCACCAAGGGATGACTCAATAAAAGCCTATGGACTTGAGGGAAAAGAGCCACCTTAAGTTTCAACAGTATATTCAATAAAGCAGACTATATGCCGGGTGGTGGTGGTGCACGCCTTTAATCCCAGCACTGGGTGGCAGAGGCAGGTGGATCTCAGAGGCAGGTGGATCTCTGTGAGTTCGAGGCCAACCTGGGCTACAGAGTGAGTTCCAGGAAAGGCACAAAGCTACACAGAGAAACCCTGTCTCGAAAAAACCAAATAAATAAATAAATAAATAAATAAATAAATAAATAAATAAATAATAAAAAACAACCCACAGCAGTAGAGTTATCAAAAGTCCTAGACATCAAAATAAACAGACCTGTGCTACTTCTTATACAGCCACTTTTTATTTTATCTTTTCATGTATGCTGTGTATGTACGTCAGAAGACAACCTCAAGTGCTGGTATTTTTCTTCCACTGCGGTTGAAACAGGGTTATATTTGCTGTTCACCACCACACACTCAGCTTTTAGAGATTCTCCTGTCTCTGCCTTCCATCTCACACAGACACACTGGGATTGGAAAGCGCTATCATGCCTGCTTTCACGTGGGTGGCTTCGGAGGATCTGAATTCAAGTCTTGATGCTCACATGACAAGCACTTTGCTCAGTGAGTCATCTCTCAAGCCCTAGCACAGCTATTTTTCAACATAAAAAAAAAAAGGTTTTCCAACAATTTTGTGACAAAAATTCCATGTGTTAAGTTTTGACTCATCAACATATTCTATTAAAAAGATGCCTTAGTTAAGAGGAAACAGGATGCTTTCTCTTGAACTTCTTGTTTGTAACGTCAGTAAGTTTTAGCTGATAAAATAATTCATAAAGAAACTAACAATATTAGATAGGTCCACACCACATCATTTTTAATTTTGTATAACTGTAGATTTTGTTATAAGAGCCAGATTTTAAAATTTTAAATACATGTATAATGGCAAAAATTTAATGAGATTATTTTTTGAAACTGTGTATTTTATAATTTATTATTTTTATTTTATGTACATTGGTGTCTTGCTTTCATGTATGTCTGTATGAGGGTGCTGGATCCCCTGGAACTGGAGTTACAGACAGTTGTAAGCTGCCATGTGGGTGCTGGGAATTGAACCTGGTTCCTCTGGAAAAGCACAGTCAGTGCTCTTAACTGCAATTTCTTTCCTCAGCTCTTCTAGTCTGAATTAAAATATCAAAAGAATGATATTACTCCATTTCAGTACTAACTTATATGTTCAATCTAGCAATAGAAGAACAATTCAGTGTCTTGTATTTTTTACAAACAAGTATCAGTAAAACAATCTGGTTATGAGGCTGGAGAGATGGCTCAGTGATTTAGAGCACTTACTACTCTGGCAGGGTACCTAGGTTCAATTTCTCAGCACCCATGTGGTAGCTCACAACCATGCATAACTCTGATTTTAGAGAATCAGAGCCCCTCTCCTGACCTCTGTGGGTACCAGGCATAGATGTGGTGAACATACATACTTGTATTCGTACACATAAAAAAATCTGGCTATAATAAAAATATTTCTAAACTATTTGACTGCCTGCTTTGGGATTCATAGGCAGTCTGCTATCAACAAGAGCTATTCAATAAGAGTAAGTTCTAATGTTATATAATAAAAGACTTGAAAAGTTTAAGAGAAGTTAAAAAATAGAAATAAACTAGAATCTTCCCTGCTCATGCATGCATGATAGGGTATTATATATTGTAGGCTGGCCTCAAACTTGTTATGTAGCTGAGAATTATCTTGAACTCCTGATTCTCCTGCTTCTCTGTCTAAAGAGCTAGGATTACAGTAATGTGTGTGCTGTCACATATAGTTGAGGCAGTGCTGGGGAGCTGGGTGTGGGTAGAACCCAGGGCTTCCTATATGTTAGACCAACTGAGCTACAGACTCAGCCTATAAAGCATAATTTCTAAAAAGGCATTTTAAAAACCCTCAAAAAATTTGAAATAAAGCTATTTTCCTTTTGGTGTGTGTGCACATGCGTGTTTTCTTATGTAGGTGCACGTGGTATGTATGTGGCAAATAGAAATCAGAAGCCAATATTGGGCTATCTTCCTCAATAATTTTCTGTCTATTTTTTGAAACCAGGTCTCTCACTAAACCTAGAACTTACTGCTTTTGCTAGGCATTCTGGCTGGCCATCCAATTCCAGATATCCACCTGTCTCTGCCTCCCCAGGACTGGGATTACAGCTGTATACTGCTGTATCTGAGTCTTACGAGGATGCTAGGGATCTAAACTTAAGTTGCATGCTTACACAACATGCACTTTACCAACTGAATTATATCCTCAGATCTCAATAAAAGCCATTTTAAAGAAAGAAGTTCTGTTGGCACTGCCTTAAATTTCTGTATACACTAAGACTTGTTTCGTCCCACCTAGCTGCTAGGCCACTATTACCACTACTACCCTTTCTCCTTTGAGAAGTCAGCTTTGGAGAGATGTAATTATCTCCTCGTAACTAACTCTGTATTCAATGAGGCCCGTGAAAATTACAATACATAAGGCCTTTTGAAACATTTCTTTCTTTCCCATTCCTCCTTATTTATGTTTTTCACTTTTTCATAGTAGCCCCCCACCTTTTTAAACAAACTGTAAGATTACTTGTATCTACCATAGTATCAAGTTTGTAAGGAGCAACCTGTGTTCTACTTCTTAAAGTACTTTAAGCACCTATGTAACAGGTTATATGATCAGAAATTGTAGAGTGAATAATTTGGTTTCAGCTTATGAAACCAATATTAAGAAACAGGTTATCTATTCAGTAGGTAGTCAGGCTTGAGAAACACTAATTATGACAAAACTAAACAACATGAATGCATCACAGGAGTTGTCATACCAGATAAAATAAGCAGTTCAATGATTTCTGCATCTCCAAGATAGGCAGCAGCATGTAAAGGAGTTCTCTTCTCATTATCCTGTGAAAAGATGAAATAGCACTTTTAAAATAATAAAAAAATATATAGTTTAAATGAAATGAAAACATTATTAACTACCAAATTATTATTTCTATAACTCTACTCTGCAAGTCTCAACAACAAGATATAAAATGTTTCAATTGCTAAGATGAGAAAGAGCCTTTACAAATGTAGCTGGCTTTAAAACCTTGGCTTGAGTTGAATGGTTTGGTCCTCCTTTGAAAATCTGCAACAAACCAAATTCCAAAAGGTTTTGAGGACTAATATGACACCACAAATGGAAAGTTAACTTTGAAGACATTTTGTTTCACATGTAAAATTCTTAAAGATATTATGCACACTTGTCCTCAGCTGATGTGTATAAGGAATATGTGAGAGGACAATTCATTAAACTTGAATCTCATCCTCAAAACAACCACCCCATATATATTCCCCAAATATTTTTAAAAATCTGAAATCTCACATACTCTAGTCCCAATAATTTTAGAAAAAGGATATTCAATCTGTATAAAATCCATCAAAGAATAAATAAAAATTAAAATAGAGACGAGGAAACAGTATGTGTGTGTGTGTGTGTGTGTGTGTGTGTGTGTGTGTGTGTGTGTGTATATATGTTTTTTTCAAGACAAGGTCTCACTATGTAGACTAGGCTGGCCTCAAACTCACAGGTATCTGCCTGCCTCTGTTTCCCAAGTGCTGGGATTAAAGGAGTGCACCATTATGCCTGGCTTGAGCAATACTTTCCTTTTGCCAATACAGTTCCACAATTTTAAAACAGTTTAGAATTGATAGCTTAACACATTAAATACAAACTTAAAAATATCAGATAATTTACTTATCAAATGTTTCCACAGGAGTACTCATAGGGGCACAGGAAAAAAAAATGTCTTTGTGAATTTAGAATTATCCTTTAACACAATACTAAGGTTAGTCTTAATGTTTCTATTGGTTTTTACTTTCACACTCAAAATACATACATGTTTGTTTTAATATAAAAAGCACATCTTTTTCCCCAAAATCTTCCTCCAGAAAGGGAAGCTACATTTAATGTAGAGCTTTAAAATTCTCTTCCTCCAAAAGAAGTGTACTCCAATTGATGAAGCAAGGTACAACATAATGTCACAATAAGAGACTTTTAATTAAAGCACATACAAAATTACATTGGACTATCACTGACATGGCTATATTATAGAAATCATTATTTAGAGATAATTATTTTGAGATTTACATTTAGTATTGTTAATGAGGGTTTTTGTAATAGATTAAGTTCTTTTCCACCATGTTCTCCTTGCTGTCTATACAAAGCAAGTTGTGCCAGGCTATGGTGGTATGTACACCTTTAATCCCAGCACTCAGGAGGCAGAGGCAGGCAGATCTCTGTGAGTTTGAGGCCAGCCTGGTCTACAGAGTGAGTTCTAGGACAGCCAGGGCTACACAGAAGAACTGTGTGGATAGTTTGAATGTAATTGGCCCCTGTAAGCTCATAGGGTATGGCACCATTAGGAGGAGGTGTGGCTTTGTTGCAATAGGTATGGCCTTGCTGGAGGAAGTATGTCACTGTGGGATTGGGGTTTGAGGTCTCGTATATGCTCAAGCCACACCCAGAGTTGCAGTTCACTTCCTGTTGCCTTTGAATCAAGATGTAGATCTTCTCCAGCACCATGTCTGCCTGCATGCTGCCATGTTCCACCATAATGATAATGGACTAAACCTAAGCCACCCAATTAAATGTTTTCCTTTACAAGAGTTGCCATGTTCATGGTGTCTCTTCATAACTAATAACAAAACGCCCTGTCTTGGGGGCAGAAAAAAAAAAAAAAAGAAGCAGCAAGCTGTAGCTTGTCATTTACTGTATGAGAGGTTATATCCCTAGATTACCTAGCTTTGTTACTTATAATTAGTGTGGACCAACAATAGGGGAATGAAATCAACTCACAGAACTTTCAGATCACCTTCATTTTAAAAGGTAACTGTCAAGCTGGGTGACTAAGCATGCCTAATAGCAGCATTTGGGAGGCTGAGGGAGAAATATCATAGTTCAACTCTACCCTGGGCTACATTGTGGAGTTCCAGATCAAGTTAAGCTATATAGCAAGAGCTTGTCTAAAAAGACAAAACAAATAAAAACAAAACAAAAAACTAGCTTACAGCTAGAGCGTTTTCCCACTTCCCACAGGCTAAAAGGCAGGTGTGAAACCAAGCCAGCTTTGAACATGTAGATGTAAGGCCAGTATCACAGCAGACTGTCAAACAAGATTGTGATGATTTCATAAGAACTGAGTCACCATCTTGGAACACTGAACTCTAGACTACTTGGAAAAATAAGCTTGTATAAAGTAGAATAATCCCCAGTCTTCACAGCTTTTTTACTGGGGGAGGGGGTTGTATGTGTGGATACATGGGTATGTATGTGTGCATGTAGAGGCCAGATGATGTCAACCTCAGGAGTCATTTCTCAAGAGCTGTCCACTTTGTTCAGACAGGATTAACTACTGGGACATGGGACTTGATGATGATTAGGCTAGTCTGGTTGGCCAGTGATTTCCAGGAATCTATGCCTTCCTGGTGCTGGTATTACAAGCAGGGATCACCACATCCAGCTTTTATGTGAGTGTTTGAACTCTGGTCCACACACCTGTCTAGTCTACCCACTGAGCTATCTTCTCAGCTTCAACATTTTAAAAGATAACAAATTTAATAGACTTTGTAATAATTTTCTGGTTTGAGAATCTCTAAATTACTTTCTTAAAGAACAGCTAAGAATGGGGGGGGGGGCGCTTAAGCAATACCATATAAAATACTACATGGGAAATTAATTTAGTGTTATAAATGATAAATGAATGAGTAAGCTAAGAGTCCTTAGATCCATGACCAGAGTTAGAATCTACTGCATCAGGTTTTTTATTTCAATTTTCATCCCAGGAAACAGAATAGATTGAGAGAAATCACGCACAAAACAATTGTTAAAAAGCTAACACAGAATATCTAGCAAACATTGAAAAAGAAAGATTTACTGAAAGTTGAATACTAATTTAGACATTCTGGTGCTGCTCATTAACCAAACAAACTCTGCTAATATAAAGATGTGATAGACCTAGTCAAACAGAAAAACATCTCTATTGCAATGAATAAAGAGGACAGAAAGCACAATGACACAGAAAAGGAACCATCTGTGTCTACGAGATGCCTGAATTCTATGACTCAGTGCTTGGAATACTATGAAGCTATTAATGACTCATATGAACATAATATCCCTCTATGTAAATCAAAATAATAGCAGGGAATTAATAACAAAAGAAAAAATACAGATCTTATTTTATTTTACTTCAGTTAAACACTGAAAATTAGGCAATAAATAGCTAAAATTCCCTTTAGCAAAGTATAGCTTTTAAAATTACTTCTTTTTTAAAATGAAAAAATTCCAATCTGTCTTTAGAATAAATGACAGTTTACTGAATCACTGTGGGAAACAAAATGCTGAAAACAAACTGGATGTCCCCTAAATGGTTACTTAAATAATGAGACACAAGAAGCTCTTCATCAACCTTTATTTATCTAACTCACATGATTAACCAATATTCTCGGTTTCCTGGATAAAATGAATAATTATTTTTTGCACATGAGGTACTCTGACTCATACAGTCTTCCACTAACAAATCCATACACTCTTTGATCATACAATGGCGTCTGTGTTTACCAAGGGTAAAATGTGTTTGTAATTTATGTATATGTGGTTTATTTAAACAGCATTTAAACTGACAAATCAGGAATGAAGAACTAAATATTTCTATGATCAACAGGCCAAATATTATTTTTAAAATTTAATAAAGGACAGTTGTAAAAACATTTAAAAAGTGCTAGAGAACTGAAGAGGATCAGACAACTAAAGCGCTAGGCTCTGTGCCTTGGTAAAGAGTGAAAGTAAAAACCACAGGAGTTTACTCCAAGACTACCTTTACCCTAGTACCACAGTCTGGCCTACAACTTTCATGTAATCCATGGAGGCTCAAACTCAAGATCATCCTGCCTCTGCTGCCATGGTGACAAGATTATAGGCATGTGCCACCAGGCTTGGCTTAAGATGTTCAGTTAAGGGCTTAATTTCTCATACCACTTAAAGAAACTCAAAATGGAAGGTACAGGTAATGCACTGTGAGTATAGTCCAAGAAAAATATTCCTATTGCTGAGCCATACATTATTAATGAAAAACCTTCAGCTTAATTAAAAAAAAAATCCTGGTGAATATACTGTTACATTGAAATGCTTAGCAATTATCATACTTTTAACATATCAGAAAATAAGATAATGAGTTGGACATCTACACAATCAAATACTGTGCTTACAATTTAAATTGAGAGGGAGAGATAGGTAGATGAATTTAAATTGAGAGGGAGAGATAGGTAGATGAATTTAAATTGAGAGGGAGAGATAGGTAGATGGGGGTGCTATAGGTCACAGGAGAATAAACATTGCATTATGGGAGTTCAAGAAGGAAAAGAAGCTGAGTTGTTGGTACACGCCTATAGTACTAGCACTTGAAGGATACAGAGAGGCAGGAAGATCAGGAAAAACCATCCTTACTACATGACAACTCTGTCTCAAACAAACAACCCAAAACAAAATATAGAAGGAAAGACAGAAAATACGTTTAATGAAAGAGCTAAAACCTTCGTATTAAAGCAAAAAATTTGAGACAGAAATGATACCCCATTTCAAATGATATCAATGTGAGCATACACATATACACTTACACATATCAACCCTCTCAAAGACAATCCTCCCAGTTACTCTGCATTATATGCAAAATTTAATCTGAATATATTGCAGAGCTTTTAAATGAAAAGAGCAAAAATTTTAAAGCTCTCATAAATGTGGAATATTATCTTTGACTCAAGTTATTAAAAATTTTATGGGTTAGGGAGCCTGTTCATTTGGCAAAGTGCTTACTATGCATGAAGATCTGAGTTCAATCCCCAATCAATTTATGAACACACATAAA